GGGGAGAGCCATCCACCTTTAAATTTGGCATTTCTTGATATTTTGAGTGAATTTTCTTCTAAACTACTTCGACAAGACAAAAGAACAGTGTATGTATTTGCTAGAAATGTCCCTTTTGATTTCATTTTGGAATTCCTAAGAGTAATTATTACACATGATTTCTCTGCTTTCTATACACATATTTATAGGATTATATTGATGTACAAAAATCTTTGTATTTGAACAGTTTTATAATTTAGAGATTATAACTATATTCTATACATAATTCTCCATTTTAACTTTTTGAGTTCCTAACCCACTGTAATTGTGTCTTTTGAGGTATAACTAATGTTTTATGTATTCTTATTTCCATCCTTGCTATAGCCCAACTAAGGAAGGACCATTTAAAAAAAACCATAATATTGAGAATCCATCAGGAACATCCTAGTCAGTATGTATCTTGATCTGTGACTACACTGCAAAGTAGTCTCCTAAAAGGGTGACATATAAAAGAGACCAGAAAATGAATTTAAATTCTCAAAATCTAACGTCTCTTCCCTTAGCTTTGATGTTTAAAGTGGCAGACGAATATAAACACCCTGTAGTGTAATATCTTCTGAAAACCCACTAGTGTTTTACATTTAAAACCTGTAAATTCCCTACAAATTTTAAAGTAGCCAGAACTTATCTTTATTATGATATCATAATAGAAGTTACTTGTAGGATTCGATTTATTGAAGGGGAAGAGACACCAAAGTACTTTCTGAGAATGTTCTGTATCTTAGATGGATACATTCATATATAAATAGATCCAACTGTACTCTTTAATTTCTGTGCATTTTATTATATGTAAATATATCCATAGTAAAAATTACATAGGAGATGGGGTTATAGTTCAGTGGAGGAGCACTTGCAAACCTGTGAGGCACTGGGTTTGATCTTCAGCACCACATTAAAAAATAATAATAATAAAGGTATTGTGTCTATCTACATCCCAAACAAAACTACATGTGTTAACCTTTTTAAAAAACTTGTATAGGCTAGTTGTGAGTGTATGTACCTGTTGTCCCACCTACTTGTGAGGCCTAGGCAGAAGGATTGCTTGAATCCTGCAGTTCAGGGACATCCTTTAATCCTAGCAAGATTCTGTCCATTTAAAAAAGAATTGCTTAGACACTCTTAGAGAAATATAAATTAAACAATGAAATATTTCTTATGTAGCAGATTAACAAAAATTAAGAAGTTTGGTAGTGTTAAAATATTACCAAGGATGTGGAGCAATAGAACCTTTTTATATATTGTTGGTGACAGTATATATTGACCAAAAAACACTTTGTGGAGCTCTTTGGCAATGGTTAGTAAAGTTTGGGATTTTCACTACCTTGCAAGCAAGCATTATCCATTGATTTCATTCATAGGGAGATACCCTATAAAAACTTATAACATATGCAAAGGAAATCTGTGAAACTATGTCGACTTCTGGATTGTTTGAATAGGGGAAAAACTCGAAACCTAAAAACTCCTCAAGTACAAGATAGATCAATTGACAGATTGTGCAATACCATAGAGTGTTTTAAATGGATATATTTTGAAGAACATGTTGAGCACAAATAGAAAACTACAAAATTGCTATGCTGTGACAGTCAACCACATATCACAAATACAAAATGTATGCATGGAGATGATAAATAGCAAATTTCAGGTTAGTAGAAACTCTGAGGCTAAGAGGAAGGGAAATGGAAATAGCTTCAGTATGGACTAATCTTTAATGTTCTCTTAAGGTATGTGTTGTTTACAGAGCTGTAAATCTGTTGAGTATATTTTGGCTCTAACTTAGTGTTGTTATAGACTGGTAATAGTTCCCAGAATAGTAGCCAGTTCACAGACTACATTAAGGAGTACTGTACTACTCTGCCTGACTGAAGTGTATTGTAACAAAAATGACATATTGAGTAGTTATCGCAAAGCAGTATTTTGTAATTCATGTCTTCTGTGCTGATAAGTCTGAATTGATAGAAATTGGTCATTGTAATAACATGTTGGAGTTGCACCTTACAATTAGTTGATAAATAACTGTCTTCTTTTATTCTGAGTAGACACTAGCCTTACTGAACCTGTGTCCTGAACAGATACCAGGGATTGAACCCAGGAGCACTTAACCACTGAGTCACATCCCTAGCCCTTTTTTATTTTGAGACAGGGTATTGCTAAGTTGCTTATGGCCTCTCAAAGTGCTGAGGCTGGCTTTGAACTTGCAGTTATCCTTGGGATTACAGGTGTGTACCACCATGTCTGGTTGCTCACTAATTTTTATGACTATGGGTACATAATTCTTACTTTTTAAAAAAACATATTTTTTAGTTGTTGATAGATCTTTATTTTATTCATTTATTTATATGCGGTGCTGAGAATTGAACACAGTGCCTCACACATGCTAGGCAAGTGCTCTATCACTGAGCCATGACCCCAGCCCCTACTTCTCACTTTTTTCTTTTTTTTTTCTTCATGTGTTAAATGAAGAGAATGTTTCCTTCACAAAATTAAAGGATAGTTAAGGAACCTGAGAGAAACATGCCTAGCACATAGTAGTCACATGAATATTGGTTGAATTTTAATTGCAAAATCATAAAAAAAGCCTTATGATACTTGTTTCCCAGGGAAGATTTATGATTTCTATCAGTCTGAAGCTTTTTTATCACCTATGCATGGGACATACCCAACAAATGTAGAGCTGAAATGCTCTATTTCATTCAGTGTGATAGTCTTGAGGCTGAGATTAAGTATTGTGCAATGCTCACTACAACCAAGGATTGGTAGAACTAACAGTTTTATTATCAAAGTTAATAGTTTCTACTTCTTTTTAAGGTATGTTTACTTGGAAAAGTTCATGACATTTCAGATGTCACTCCGAAGAGAAGATGTGTGGCTTCCACTGATGTCTTACCGAAATTCTTTGCTAG